GGGTATTTTGTACCATAACCTTGAAACTGTAATTTGATACTGTTTGGTAAGATTAATCATGGAGTTGTACAATTTGATGGTTGAGAAGGTAAGGGTGATGGGAAGAAACTGGTGTGATAAACTATTCAGATTTTGAAAATAAACTAGTATAATAAAAAAAGAATTAGGGAATTAATTGATGATTTCTTCACTGCAAATACCTTTATAAGAAATACAAATGCAAACTCTACACATGAATTTCACCTGATGGTATCCGCAGGAATCAGATCAATTATATCTGTAGAATGAGTCACTGGAGAAACTCAGTATTAGCTGTGAAAACTAAGTCAAGTGCTCATTGTTGAACAGTCCATCAACTACTCATAGGCAAATTCAAACTATAACTAAAAGAAGGTCAAATGAAATCCATAGGAACCAAATTTGACCTTGAGTCTATCCCACCTGAATTTAAAAACCCTCTCAGGAAACCAGTTTGCGTTCTTGAACACTAATGAACAAAGACCAGATGAGCTCTGGGAGGATATCAAGGATATCATCTAAGAAGAACACAGAAGGTCATTACAAAGACCGAGGAAGAAGAAAAATACAAGATACATGTCAGAAGAGACTCTGAATATTTCACTAGAACACTGAGAAGCCAAAGCAAAAGAAGACATAGCAAGGAATTATAATAAAATGTGCAAAGAGCTGGAGTCAGAAAATTAAAAGGGCTAAACTCCTGGGGCATTTCTCAAGCCAAAGGAATGAAAAAACAAATTCAAGCCTCAAGTGGTAATACATAGAGATGCTTTGGGCAGAATATGAAATTATTCAGGAAGCATTAGAAGAAGATAGAATGTACAGTCATTTTACCAAAAAGAATTGGCTGACACAGAAGAATTTCTGAAGCAACATATGGTCAAGAGCCTGTGGTGATGAAGGAGGAAGTTCAAGCTGCTCTGAAGGAATTGGAGGGGGTGAAGAAAAAACACGACAAGGCTTCAGGAATTGACTGCATATCACTTGACATATTTCAGTAAATGGACGCTGCCCTGACACACTAAGTTGTGCCATGAAATCTGGAGGAGAAACACACTTGGCCAAATGACTGGAAGAGATCCATATTTGTTCCCATTCCCCATAAGAAGGTGGCCTGACAGAGTGTGTAAATTGTCGAGCAATATCCCTAATATCATATCCAAATAAGAATATGCTGAAAATTATTCCAAAACGACTGGAACAACACGTCAACTGAAAACTGCCAGATGTGCAGGCTGGGTTTAGAAGAGGCCGTGGCACGTGAAGTATTATAGCTAATGTTAGATGGATTTATTTGATAGCAGAGAGTACCAGAGAAATATTTATCTGTGTTTCATTGACTATGCAAAGATATGTTTAGTGTGTAGATCACAACAAACTGTGGCTGACTCAGAGAAGAATGGTGATCCCAGAACACTTCCTTGTGCTTATACAGAACCTATGCTTCGACCAGGAGGCAATCACCGAAAGAGAGCAAGGAAATCCTGCATGGTTTAAAATCAGGAAAGGTGTACACCAGGGATGCATCCTATTTCCACACTTTTTTAATCTATATGCAGAACAGATCATACTGGAGGGTGGAGTAATGACATTCAGGCGATGGCCTTTCCAATTACTTCCTATACCTCTGAGAGCTGGACAATGAATAGGGATGATAAAAGAAGAATCAATGCCTTTGAGTTGTGGTGTTGGGGAAGAGCAATGAACGTCCCATGGACTT